GCGAGCAAAGTTCTTTCACATTTATTACAACTTCCTCTAGATTTTCATCTCATTTTATATCCCCAGAGATTGGGAGGTTTGCTGGTATTCTGACACTATTCGTATTCCTGTTTCAGTATGCGATATCTTCCATTTGTACTGATGAATGAATGATCAGGTGTGGTTAAGTGTACAAATGCTTTAAATACGCTCAAAAACAAGGCCAGCTTCAGCACGTAGGCAGCACATGCCTCTCTGTGTTCAATTTGTGCTGGTCGTGAACCTGAAGAAAAATCTCTTATTGGAAACCTTTGTGAGAACTGAAGTGTTTGATATCTAGAAGCTCATTTCACACCTCCACTTAACTCAGCCTTTTACATGCCCTGCTCTGGTCTGTAGAATGGGAAAAGAATAAAATAAACAAAAAAGGCAGAAGCTGAAGTTGTGCTATTGTACTACAAATCCTGAAGATGCAAAGGCACCAGAAACCTGAGTGGTGGTACTCCAGCATCGTGGTACTCCAAAACAAGATGCAGAAGTCACCCAGAGACCACTGGGATGATCCTGGAGGTTGGTGGCCCTGCCTATGGCAGCAGTTTGGAACTTGATGATCCTCAGGATCCCATCCAACCCAAGCCATCCTATGATTCTAAGTATCCCTTGCACAGCTGCTAAGCTGGTCCTACAGCAAACATCTCTTTTTTAAGCTGTTCCGAGTAATTGATTTACTGAGACAGAATGTTAATTATTATGGAATCCATGAAAAGGCTTGTAGTTTTGTTCCTTTTTTCTTAACGAATGGTATTCTCCAATTAGTCTTGGCTTTGTTGTGAATGCAGGAAAGATTCTTCCTAACTACCAAAGAAATTGATTTTTCAGGTTTCAGGGTGTTTATGTTCAGCACATCTTCAGCGTTTCCTTGTTTGCTGACAGAAGGGATACAGATGAAATTGGAGCAGGCTTCCCCTGGGGGTGATCGCTTAGTGGCTTAAACATCATCCTCCCACAAGTGCCTGCAACTGCACATTTCTGTCAGGTTTGATCCAAAAGGTTGAAGGAACATAGATTAAATTCAAGTGTTTCTGGAAAGATCCTTTATGAGCTTCCCCGGACAATAGATGTGCACAGACACGGGTGTGAAGGGCAGGGGTCCCTCTGAGCACTCCTCTGGTTACACGTGGCCATGTGTCATTGCCATGGACTTCCTTGCTACTTCCTTGCTACTTTCTCTCTGTTAACAGAGATTCTGAGTGTGATTCCTCAGCCAAAATATCTTCATAGTACCATTGTGCAGGTGTAAGAAGCACAAGGAAGTGATGGAACCTTGAGCCTTCCCATATGGCCTGCAACGCCTGGGCATAAAGCAAGAGCAGCCCAAGCTGAGGCTTGCGCAGTCAGCCCTAAAGTCCTCCAGCTGCAGATCTCATGGGCTCTTGACTGCTCACAGCCACTCAGACTTTAGCTGGTGTGTGCATGTCTGCAGGCAGAAGGTTCAGCACTTTGGGGATTCCAGTGAGATGAATGGTGATGTTCCCTGTGCGTCCCAGCATCCGTCGGGGAGGTGACAGTCTGGCATTCCAGCTCCAGAACAGCGAACACCTACAAACCTTCACAGATCTAATCCTAAGCAAACCTACACGTTCTCACTTCAGTTTCCTTTAGGACACTTCTGAATCCTAGATGAAAACTCATTCGGCATTAAACACTTTGTTAGCTGGATTAGCCAGAGGGGATGCTCATAATTAGAGCATTGTTAGGGCTGCTTTCCATTTAAAACCATTCTGTTAAAGATGCTTTTGCACACAGACTTGTGTAATTTCCCTAGCAGTGGGCTGGGTGTAACTCCTTGTTAAGCTGATAGATGTCTTTTTCTATAAATTCAATTACTGGCAGAAAATCCACTAATACAAAGGGCATAATGCAATTATTTGGAATTGATTTCTTATAAGCTTATGAATAGACATTTGGAAGAGTTCAAGTTTGCTGAGTGAGTTTATAGTAATAACTGTCACGTTTTACATTAGCATTCATCCCAGAGGACTCCAAACCACTTTGCAAATCCTGAACGTGCATCTCTAAAGAGTAAGCATGGCCCAGTGCCCATTTGTCTTTTGCTTGGGAAATCTGCATTTTGTTCCCTCTTGCCGCAGCCTTCCAGCACAATCCTTAACAAGTCTTCAAACCCCAGCTAGAAAATGAGCAAAATGCAGGTTCTCCCTGCAGGGAAACCAGAGTAGACACAGTGTAATGGCTGGCAAAGCTAAGGAAGTGCAAAGCAAGGTGGAAGAAGTTCATTTGGATCAAGATAAGCTCTTAGGATGAGAGAGTCCTGGAGGATGCAATGCTCCTGTTTGCATGGCTGGAATGGTTGAGGCAGTTCTGCCGCATGGTGCCACTTCTCCTCACGAGCATTAAAAGGGATCTTTGGTCAAGAGAGTGGATTAAACTTGCAGCTTTTCACTGTTAAAGAAATCCTCCCCACTATGCCATGTCCCAGAGGTTAGTTCAGAGCTCTGTGCTCTGGTTTAGGAGCAGAAAGGCACTTAGTGATTGTAATACTAACAACAGTGACGAGACTGAGCTGTGAATGCTTTCAGGAGGATGGAGGCTCTCAGAGCACCTGGCAAGGAAGCAAAAGCGTGGCAGCCAAGGGCTGGCTCTGGCTCAGAGGCTGGAATGTGGCTCCTTGGCAGTTCAGTAATGATGGTTGGTGGAGAAACCTTATGTCATTACTTTGCAAAGCTCCAAAGTTATCCAAAGGCAAAACCTTCAGACGAACTGCGAGAGGCCTCAATGAGGCAGCGTGTGTAATTGCTGGCCTTTTCTTGGCCCTATGGTGGGCAGAAATTGCATTAAAAAATCACACTAAAGCCGAGGCACTAAAGTTAAATTGGGGCATGTATACAATAAATACATTTAGTATGCCCGGAAGGAGCAAGGAGTCACATTTTTATTTATTTTCCCATCTGCCTCTAAGATGAGCTTCACGTAAGCCAGGAAGAAGGATGTGAGCACAGACAGCCCTGTGCTGAGGTAAATCCATCTCTCTTTTAGTGTCCCCAACATGTGGCACTCTGGAGTAATCCTTTTTTTCCTTCCCAGCGTTGCAATGAACATAAAATGAACCCGACCCTTCTTAACTTATATTGACATCATTTCACACCACTGGAAGAATGATCCTCACAGTTTAAATAGGTCAGATGGTAACTAATGCACTAGATAATTGCACTGATCAAGCCTGATGCCTAAGAATGAGGATATACTCCTTTCATACTTACAAAGTTTTTTAAAACTTTTCACTGACATTCAGGGACTTCACAGCATTCACTGTGCAGCAGAAGCCAGTCTGACAAGGTGCCAGGCTGAAGTGAAGTTATTGTAATATTGTCACTATTTTTAAAAGGACCTGAAAAGAAAAAAAAAGTAAGCATTTTAGAGGAATATTGACAGATTAAATAGATTGTATGATGGGAACCAGGAAATCGCTCAATTAAAGCATGTGTATACTACAACATTAGGCAATTGTTGAATTAACAGATGGCAGAGACTTTACAGAGCTCTGTAAAACCAGATCCTAGCAGCATCCAAGTGACAAAGGGAAAGTCATACGACTGCAGGCACAAGGCTGAATACCACACTCAGTTATCAGCATGTGGGCATTTGGGAGGTGAAAGTGGTGGCAATAACAGGGGAACTCGTGGTGATGGAAAATCTGCGTTTTTCCTTCAGCCTGCACTTAGTATCTAATTAGTCCCCAAAAGGTGGTTCGTATTGTTCCCCAACTTGCAGCAAAGTGCTTGAGGAAAAACAGCGTGGGAAGACAGGGAAAGAGAGGAAGGTGAGCTCACAAAATGGGCTGAGGCACGCAGTACCTCTGAGCAGGGCAGGTGGGTTGGACCTGCCTGCGATGGGGTGGTTGAAGGGCCCTGTGACACATGGAATCACAGAATGGCCTGGGTTGCAAAGGAGCACAGTGCTCATCCAGTTCCAAACCCCTGCTGTGTGCAGGTCGCCAACCAGCAGCCCAGGCTGCCCAGAGCCACATCCAGCCTGGCCTTGAATGCCTGCAGGGATGGGGCATCCACAGCCTCCTTGGGCAACCTGTTCCAGTGCCTCACCACCCTCTGGGGGAAAAACTTCCTCCTCATATCCAACCTAAACCTCCCCTGTCTCAGTTTAAACCATTCCCCCTTGTCCTATCACCATCCACCCTCATAAACAGCCATTCCCCCTCCTGTTTATACACTCCCTTCAGGCTCTGAAAGGCCACATTGAGGTCTCCCTGGAGCCTTCTCTTCTCCAAGCTAAACAAGCCCAGTTCCCTCAACTTTTCCTCATAGGAGAGGAGCTCCAGCCCTCTGACCATCTTAGTGGCCCTCCTCTGAACCCATTGCAACAGCTCCACGTCCTTCCTGTGCTGGAAGCCCCAGGCCTGGATGCAGTCCTGGCTCTGGGCATGGATGAGGACGAGTTTGTTTCTGACTCCTGGCAGTCCCCTCTGGAGAAGGGCTTTGTAGGGCTACATCCCTCACTCCTCTCTGCTGACACTTCTACTGGCTGTGAGGATTTTTTAGATTAAATCCAAGAGCAAAAGCTCATTAGCCTGGAGGCAGGAGCAGTCGCCTGGGAAGTAGGTTTGCTTCAGGGAGCATTTAATTGTTTATACAAAGCTTCACAGAACTGAAGAGTGAGATGTACCACACAGCAGGCAGTTTATCTCCTTGGGCTGGCAATGGTCAGAGCACTTCCCTGGGCAGATGACTGATCCCTCAAACCCCTCAAGCAAAGAGAAAATTCAGGCAGCACCAACTTCCTGAGCAGCAGTGACCTCGGGCCCTCGTTATCAGCATGAAAAGTTCTGCATTAAAAGCAGAACTGTGCATCAATCCACACGCAGTGCCTGAGATGTGCATTGCGTGGGAGATGGAGGGTGTAGATTTGCTTCAGCTCTCTGAAGCTCAACCATTTTTTTCTGGTCTGGCTGTCATGTGGAAGAAAAATCAATCAATCATTCACAGCATTTTAGCAATTACCCCCTTTTCAGATTTAATTTATCTAAATTGGAACCCTGGTGTAAAAGCAAATCCGAGATAGCTGTTTCATTATTCTGGGCCTCTTGGCATCTCGTAATTTTCAACACAGACAAATACAAGTGGAATTTCCCTCTCTTGCAGCGGTGTTTTCACTGCAGGCAAGGTCAGGTCTGCACACAGATGACAACAGGGAACACGTCAGTCATCTCCAGCAACCATTTATTGCTGAGACTTACATGGGCAATGAGTGTCTGATGGTCTGGGCTCTGTCTCACCCACAGACTGCAGATACATCAGGATCTGGCTGATGTTCATCAAACAGCTCAGAAGTGCCCTGGAAAGGTGTCATAACTTTCAAGGGTGTTTCACACAGATATCGGTATGAATCCAGTTCCATCTGAAAAGTGCAAGGAGAAACATCTTTGCAGGCACAGCAATCTGCTCAATGGCCAGTATGGCTGAGCTGCAGTACAGTGCAGGCTGTGGGAGAAAGCATTAAAACAGTTGTTGAGAATAGAGCACATCCCCAATAAGTAAATACATACGGTTTATGCTTATTTCTTCTGATTTGAAGGCAAACCACAGCTTGGCTTAAAATTCAGGATTGTTTCATTCTCATAGGCTGATTGAGAACATTATCTGTGGAAAAGAACCAGAAAACACTGTGATGATTTAAGGGGTCACTTTCAGCAGTGACTTAGGAACCAAGGGTCAGGTTGTCAAAGGTGTTTGTGGGTTTAGAGATGCACACAGACGCAGGTGGCCAGATGCATAATGGCTACATGAGGAGGAATGATCTTTAATGCAGATGCAAGGGCTGTAAGAGCACGAGTGCTAGGAGTGGCTGAGAGCAGGGGGTGAGAAAGTGGGCTGTGAGCATCAGACAGACCTTGAGAAGTGATATGGAAAAGGTCTTCATTCACACCACAATGCAGTTCTCACCACTGATACATCCAATGAGGCTGCCTCTCCATCCAGAGCAAAGGCAGAATCCAAGTGTTGAAAGCATTTGAAAACTTCTGGTCTGGACTGTTCAGATGAATATTGCAGCAACAAGGGCAAAACAAGTGTAATGACCTCGGTCTCCAAAGAAATCAGTTATGCTTACTGAGAAAGTAAAAATTGAATTGGGCATTATGAAAAATTCTCTGTGTAGCTGAAACTATAACCTGGGTAATTCATTTAGGCTAAATATATGGTTGTAATTGAAAATCCAAATAAGGTATGCTTGTGCATTGATCCACATGATTTAAATCAAGCCATAAAACATCAACATTATCCAGCAAAAGCTGCAAGGAAATGGTAGCCAAGCAGAATATGAAATTCCAGGGAGACCACTGCACTAGCTGGGAGAAGGACTTAATTGATTTTGACCAAGAAAAAAAACCTATTTGCTGTTTAATTGATTCCTACTCTAAATTCACAGCACTTTCGGAGTTAGTAGAGGAGCAGCAGAATAGTGATTACCCATACCAAATTACAGCCACCAGGGTCCAGAATACTGCAGGTTCTGGTTATTCTCTATGCACCAAATTGCTACCTTGGATTTTCAGAGAAACACTAAAATCTCCTTGTACAAGCACAAAAATGTCTCGCCGATGAGTTACAGGATAACGAAAGCTATTCAGAACACTAAAAGGAGCTTCAGAAGAGGAAAAGCAGTGAGGATATTCACTTTGTGCTCAGTGTCCATACTCTTCTGCACCACCTCTAGCTCAGCACAATCCTGCTGGCTTGCAGGAAAGGAGATGAAAACTTGGAGTTACACTGAAAGCAACAGCACATAGCACATCACCAAAGGGCTTCACCAATGTCCCCAAGCCCTTGCCTTCATCTTGGACCTATCAGACCCTCTCAAGATGTCTCATCTGCTGGGGCCATGCTGTTGGCAGGACCGGTCCCTTCAAGAGCAATGCTGGGGGTTGACTCATCCTCCTGAAGCCAGTGCTGCCACTGGAAGCACAAACGAACACCCACATGGCACCATCTTGCTGATGTTTAAGTTGCTATTTCCCCACCGCAGCCCTAACAGCGACCGATGGACTCGTGGCAATGATTTTCCAATTTGAAAAATCCATTCTCATTTCAGAAATCATCTTCCTCTGACTTCATCCATTTATCATACGCCACAAAGCAGAGTTGGGGCACAACTACCACACGCCTGTTCAACAGGGAAGAAAGGTCTGTGGAACCTGGGAGAGAAAGGGTGGAAATGACAGCCTGTTTGAACAGAGCAAGTTACGGAATCACAGAACCACAGGGGTTGGAAGGGCACTCAGCCTTTCTCCATTGGGAGATGCTCCATGGCCCAACCATCTTTGCAGCCCTCTGCTGGACTCTCTCCAGCACTCCCCTCTGCCTGGAACTGGGGCGACCAGAACTGTGCCCAGTGCTCCCAATGTGGTCTCCGCAGGGCAGAGCAGAGCTGCATTGAGAGACGGGTTACACAAAGGAAATATGGTCACGGTTATCAGTACTATAGGTCTTAATCATTCACAGTGCCATGGGTGTCCAACCTGTTGGCTTGCCTAGGCCATGTTCACTGAAGAGGAATGGTCATGGACCACATATAAAATATACAGTATATTTAAGGTATGGAAGTAATAAAAGTTTATTTATTTATATACAAATAAAATGTACAAAAAAAAAAAAAAAAAAAAGAGGGCAACAAAAAAAGGAAAACTTGCGGTTTGGACACGTCTGGGTCATTTCTTACATCCCCATGCATCTGGGAGCTGTGGAACAGCACTGTGCACATGAGGATCCCCAGCACACAAAAGCTGTCCTGGCAGGTGAGAGGACATCTCCAGCACTTAGTGTGCATGCATTGTGCATTAGGTATGGCACCAAGGCAGAGACCAACCTCAAGCCTGTGTCCATAGGGAGATCTTTTCCAGAAGTGTTTCCTGCCAAGCGCTATGAAATGCTGGAACCTCCTCCTTAGGACATGGACCACTATTCAGGCTGCCCACTTGCCAGCTCTCTCCTAATTAAAAGCAAGATGCTGAGACATTGCTTATCCTTATCACTGCTGTGGCCAGAGGGATGGAGGCAGTAGCTGAATGTTTGGTAGCACCTCTCAAGAAGAGGCTTGCAGCCCTGGGGCTCTCCTTGTTTTACCAATGGGACTGCAGTGAACACCTGAGTAGGAAAGGAGCTCAGGATCCATGCTGAGCAGCGACTGAGCCTGGGTGCATCCTTCCTCCTTCCAACAGTGCAACATCCAGAATCAAACAGCTTGCAATCAAGTGAGAAAAAGCAAAGCTTGTCTGCAAGCCTACTGAGGTGCATTTCCTGCAGCACTCATAACACATCACATAGAAGGCTAGATGAAAAAATGAAATGTTCAGAGAATTCTTTTCTTGTACTAATACTGACCTCTGGATGTCATTGTAAGAGTTTCCCAAGGAAGGGAGCTGAGAGACTTGGCTGTGTTAGGAGAACACAGGGCAAAGACTGAGCTCCTCCACCTGTTCACAGAGCCATGGGGACAAAATGACACCTGCTAGGGCACATAATGCCAATATTTTGTGCAGGAACCCAAAGCAAGAAGAACAAGGAAAAAGACAGAACACCTGTGTTATGCATACCTGTATGTGCACACATGGACTCCAGCTGGGATAGGACCCCTTCCCCGATGTGCCAGCCCCAGGCCAATTGATGCTGCTGTTTGCATTTTGCTCCATCAGTGAGGAGCTCTCTTCTCTGAGCTCATCACACAACCCAGCTCATTGTAGCCACTGCCTGCCAGCAGGTGTTGCAGATAAACCCCTAATGAGGGCAAAGAAACTCCAAGATTTCCCATAACAGCTGCCAAGCACCTCCTGAAGTCACCAAAATTGCAGCCCTGTAAAGCCAGAAGCCATTATCCAACATAAGCAGCTTCATTTTCTCACTCCCTTCCCAAAAATCCAAAGAGAAGAACAAAAAGAAAACGAAATAAAAGCATTGTTGCAGTTTCTCTCCAAGCCAAGCAGTGAGGTGCCATCAGCACTTTGTGTGCCACATACCAAGCATGCCCTGGGAGCTTCTTTCTGGATCTGCCACACATTTCCCAATGTTAAACGCACAGAACATCATACAATATATCAGGGCTTTGAGTTTGTGGGTTGTTTTTTTTCCCCGTGGCCTTGCAGCCCTTGGATATCAAAGAGAAGGAAGGTACCCAAGTGGGTGATTCATAGATCCCTCCCCTCCTGATGAGCCCACCCCCCAATAACAGCACAGTTGGGTGGGAGGGGAATAATGTAGCTGGTATCAGCCCTCATGCCCCTTCTTCTAGGAATTAAATCCAGAAAATAATTAAAATGAGTGTAAAGGCACCAATTTCACGCAGAAAAGATAACAATTATCTCGAGTGTGGTGCTTTTGTGCTACAGGCCATCCACACATGCTCAGTGCTCAATACCACAGGCTTCCTCCTGGAGCACGGGCTGGCCAAGCACAGCATCCCAGCCACAGCAAGCAGTGTGCAAAAGCAAAGCCAATGATGGGCACAAAAACCCAGCATGGTGGTTTTGCACTGTGTCCCCCATCCACCAGCAGCAATAAGCATCAAAAAGCTCAGCTGGAAGCAAAGCCACTGCTCACAGGCTCTGCAGGTGAGGGCTGTGCTGATTGCACCTGGCTCTGTGCTGGGCTCCCCAGCCCATCTCACAGCAGGGTAAATAATCAGCACTGAGGGTTTGTCCCAGCAGCTACACTCTGTGGGCAGTCACAAGGCAGGATGGTTTTGCAATCAGTCAACCAAGTAATAAAAGCCAACACAAAACCAGATCTTGGAATTTGCTTTCTCTGATTTTTTTCATGTAGATACATCAGTGAATGGGATCCTTGGGGGGGGGGGGGGGGGGGGGGGAACAGCCAGTTCAAACCTGAGGAAATTAAAGCACCTTTGCAAGGCCTTTATCCTTTACTCCTTCATTCAGTGCAGTCTCTCATTTGAGCCAAGCAATGCTGGACAGCAGGGATGCTGGAGAACCAGCAGGCCTGTAAGTGCTGTGTGCTGTTTGCAGGGGTCTCCTCACCTTCTGTGGTGTTCCATTCCACAGCTTTCAAGCTTTGGATGTAGAGATGCATCCGAGCTGCCCACACTACTGTGATTCTTGGGTGATGGGACCAAAAGCACCTCGCAAAGTCTCTTTTCTCTGTTCTACAGAATGGCAGGTGTTTCTAATCAGCCTCTTATAGGGTAAACACCCACTTGGTTTGTAATTTGGTTGGTAAATCTTGTATCTGCAGCTGTAATTACCCAGTGAAGGCAGCTGGATAGACATGACATTTATGGTGACCTTCAGCTTGCAGCTGCAGTAACCATCCCATGGGAAGGGTGCAGCAAAGGCACCAACAGATGTGCTCTGGGGCTGGAGCAGTGCTTCAGCAAGCACAGCACGCGTGAGGGTGAACCTCTGGATTTCCCTGCCGCAGGTCTGTCCCTCCTGAGCACACCACCACCCCTTCCCCACGCTCAGTTCCCAGGCTTGTGCAGCCCACCCTGCACCTACATCATCCCCAGCCACCCCTCCTTCTGCCCAGTTCCTCCCCAGTTCTCAGCACCCTCTGCTTTGCCTGACCACTGCCTGAGCTGAACCCCTCTCCCTGTGAAGCACTCCTGCTTTTCTGCTCTGAAGTTTAAGGATGCTCCATCTATCCCTCCTTCCCAACATGCACTGAATTCTCACTATTAACCCCAACCCACTCTTCTTAATCCAGCCTCTCCTCTGCTCCTCACATCCCTCATGTTTTCCCATCCCAGCTCTCTCCTGTCTGAATCTCCATCCCCTTCCCACAGTTCCTTGCCCACACTTAACTTTCCCAGTTAATCCCCTCTTACACACCCAATGCCAACTTTCCTCCTCCCCCCATCCAAGGCAGTAGGAGGGGGGCACAGGGGCTGGGAGAGCTGAGCAGTACCATCCCATCTCCTGCCCACCAGCACTACAAGGAAAATAAGCAGCTGCAGGGCTCTTGGTGGGTCACCTCAAGCTGCCAATTTGCTGAACTCCAGAAGTATTTCTGCTCCAACTCAGCTCATCAAGGAGATGGTACTTCGGAGTATCAAAGGTGGAGTCTGCTCTTGGGTGCCCAAGAGTTGGGTACAAACAAATATTTGAAGCAATCCACAATGAAGAGAGGTGGAGAGGGCTTGCAGAGATGCCCATGGAAAGAGCTGAGCAGGAGCACAACCACCCATAGCAAGCTGCAGTTTACAAAGTGAGCTTAATGCAAATGGACAAAAAGTGAGGATCAGTCATCAGAATAGCTTGAAATCCAACTGTGTCAGCACTCACTCCATTAATTATCCTCCAGATCACCTCCCAGATCCACCGCTGGAGCATCTCACGTTGAATCTAAATAAATACGAGAATCAGAGGGAGGTGAGGAAGTCAATACTGCAAACCAACTCCTTCTGCAAATGGATTTTCATTACCATAGGGGCAGGCACTGGTGTCCAGAACGCACCACAGTGCAGGCAATTATATGCTGGCAGTGCTCTGTATTCACAGAAGCTGCTTTGCAGCAGTGAAGGGCAGCAGAGCTATCGATCAGGTCAGCTCCTGTCACTCTTAGAGGCACCAGGGGCTTTAACAAGGCACACGAAGGCAGTATTGGAATTGTCACAAGTACATGCTTGGTTTGTAAGCCAATTTGAAGCAGATTTATTGACTCCCTTCCTTGCCGTCCACAGGGGGTGGAGGACAGCAGAGCTGTCCAGCTCTAAGCCTCACCAGGAGCTGCCAGAAGAGACCCTGAGGAGGGATGGAGGAAGAGCTGAGTGCTGACTTCTGCAAAGATTTCAGGCAGAAAAGCACCCACGTGCTGCACATGGGAGCTCTGCAAAGTGCTGCCAAGAGCAGCTGTCCTTCTTCAGCTGCTCCTGTACCCATGTTGAGCAGGGCAGCACCCAACTCAGAGCACAGGGAATCCTCTCCACATTTCCCTCTCCCCAGCTCCTCTGATGCAAGCAAAGGAGATGTAATAGGAGAGAGAGAGGACAAGTGCAGATGGCTAGAAAGCAAGGAACCAAGCTACAGAACACAGTCTCTGCCTACATCATGCAGCAGCAGAGGAGTTCCCACCACCCAATTCTGCTCCAGCAGAGGCCAGGCACAGCACCATCATTTTCTAGCAGACGGCAAAAGCTTCATCCAGTTTCCACTGCAGATTAACTCCAGTCAGCTTTGGGGATCTTACATTTCTCCACATAGAAGCTTAAAGTCACATAAAAAAGGCAATTCAGAACACCTGTGAGGACCCCAGCTACACAAGCAGCCTTTCATGGCAGTCACAAACTTTAAAAAAAATATATACATGTATTATTTTACAGCAGGCAGTAAGTGGAGATATTGTGTAAAGGCTGTCAGTGTACTAATATGTACAGAAACATGGAAACGTAGAGTGGAATTAGGCTTTTTGCAAGCAACTAGAGGGCTTTTGCCTTTCAGCACTTGCTACTATTTCTGGTTTCCCAATCTATTGCCTTCCCAACAAAGCTGCTTGGGAAACCCTCCATCAGCAGTTTCCCTTGCCAGGTAGAGGTCACAGCAGCATGTTGGCTAATGCCTCCTAACTCAACCTGGGGAAGATGACAGCACATTCACTGACCTGGAAGTCAGGCATCAAACAATGAAGGGACAACAGCAGGGACTGAATAGAAAGAGGCACAAGTGCATGAATGTGAGCGGAGAATTAAATAATTAATATGCTAAGCAAACTCCTAGAGGGAAATGAGGTGGCATCTAGCAAGAGGGGAACAAGGAGCAGGTGCCCCTGTGATTGCATTTAAAATTCAAATCTGCCTGCAACTGAGCTGTCATACATGGCCACAGCCTAAGCAGGCATGAACAGCAGTAGAGGAGGGTAAGACAATCACTTGGGCTATCATTATCTGAATCAAGGAATACCACATAGTTTCCAAGGGCTACTGAGAGCCAGAAAAGACATCTCAAGGCATGCTTTCCCTACTTGTCTAGGCTTGTCAGATTACTAACATTTCTTACTCCTACCCAAAGTGAAGAAAAGTAAGCAGAGACAAACTGGTCTGGACAGAACTGAGAATGTTCTGGTTACTCTCAGAGCTCAGAAGAGTTTACACTTCAACCATTTGCAGGAAATCCATTCATTTGTTGCTACCCAGCAGCCACAGGCCCTCAAAATACAGTCAGAGGACTTCTCACCATTCAGACAAACCCCTGGCTAGTAGAAAGTAGAATTATAGAACTCCAAAATAAGTCACGAGTTGGTTTTCTTTTTAGCCCTTGAATTTTGAACAGTTAGTACATTTAAGACATGCCTGATATTTTTCTGGAACCTGCTGGAGGGAAGGAGTTGCTCTACTGAGCCCAGAGAGGACAGATCCTGACACTCACAGTCCTGAGCAGCCTAATGGCCCATAGCTTTCCCTTATGAACCAAAACACTTGGAAGCAACTTTTCAGGAGAACATCTGAGTGATTTCCCTCCTCCTCCCACTGCACACCAGGTTCCCGAGGCAAGAGCTGTCAATAGTGACTGCAGGAAGTGGATTTAAGCAGTAAGCAAGGCTATGCCCCAGCAATCCATAAGCAGAACACGCATGATTTGCTAGGGCAAGCACTAAATTAATATAGATTTGATCTGCTGCACTGATAAATTAATGCGGAGTACAAAAGTCATTTACTTTCCTCCTGGTAAGTTTAGCACCTAGGTAGTTGGTAGTTGGACACAGCTTTGATACTGAAGGAGACAACATGCATCCTACCAAGCATCAGGGCTAGCTCTTGGTACTACCTGCAGTCAGCACCCCCTTCCCTCCCTACAAGTGTAGCTGTAATTACATTACACAGTCTGAGCATGCCTTTCCCAGAGCTCCTCACCAGAGAGGAACCAAACAGCAGTAATCAAAGAACACGCATTGGAGAGATGATACTGCAGTTCCTCTGACTGCAGCATAGCTTGGCCTGTCACAATGGGCTTACCCTTCTGCTTTCAGCATGAACCAGTTGGTATTTAAGGAGCACAGAATTGAGTACAAGAAGTAACAAGTGGAGCTGCCTGTTCCAGAGGCTTTTGGAAGATCAACTTCAATGACGTTACTGTCCAGCAAGTCTGAAAGCAGTGTGTTCTTCTCACTCTT